GTCGCTGCCGGCAGCGGCGGAGGAGAGCGGAACATGATGAATCGGAGCCCCTCAGAGTGGTTCTTCCAGAAGTTTCTAGAAGAGGAGGCAGTAAGATCAAATTTGAATCCTAATCCGAGTCCTAACCCTAATATTGCTTGTGCATCGTCTGCTGTGTCCTCGAATTTGTCGTCTAGTAGGAGAGATGGAGGAGACGATGAGGTTGTTGAGATCAAGAAGCCTCTGATCGCAGCCGTTGGTTCAGTGCCGTCGTCTTCTGATCCTACGGCTGATGTTGATCCTGGGGAATATGCGGCGATGCTGAAGCAGAAGCTGGATATGTATTGCCATGCTGTCGCAATTGCTCGGGTAAATTTTAATCTTAATTCTTTTTTTTTCCATTTGAGATTTGTGTTCTGCTAATGTGATACTTTAGTTTTGAGAGAGTTGTTCAAGTTTTATTGTCTGAAGAGAAAGAACAATTGACATTTAATTGTTCTCTTATGCCTGGTAAACAGCTATGCTTCTATGACTCGTTTAATGAGAAGGGTGAAATGGAAAATTAAAAATTTTAGTTTAGTTCAAGGTTTTTATTCATAGAAGCCACCTTTGAAATATGGGTGATTACACTAAACCCCAATAAACTTTAGCGTTTTGCTGTAAGTCGCTAATAACTTTCAAAATCACAATATACCCCCAAGACTTTCGTGTTTTGCAGTAAACTCCCAATAACTTTCATAATCACACTAATCACACTAACTTTTGTAATTGTAGAAAACCCCCAATAATTTTCTGCGTTTTGCATATAACCCCTGTAAATTAAAACAAAACAAAAAACAGAAAAGGCATTTTGAAGGACAAGTTCAACAAAAAAAGGTTTTTCCTCGAAACCACCTTACATTTAGGGTTAATTTACATAAACCACCTTATATTTCCAATTTATACCTAAACCCTCTACTAAGTTAGTTTTTCTTCCAATCAATCACCTTACTCTACTTTGCTGCTAAAATTTTCATGAAATTCCAACAATATACTCACTTAATCTTACATGGAAAGCTTGAAGTAAATCAACAAGGAGGTCACATGCTTTACACGTGAGATCAAGTGAGGGTATTGTCAGAATTTCAGGAAAATTTTAGCAGCAAAGTGGGTTCAGGTGGTTGATTGGAAGAAAAACTAACTTTGTAGATAGTTTAGGTATAAATTGGAAATATAAGGTGGTTTATGTAGATTGACCCTAAATATAAGCTGGTTTCTAGAAAAAACCCCCAAAAAAAGTGTTCGGTAACCTAGCCTAGGTGAGCAAGAGGAGAACAAATAACAAAAGATGAGAGATTTTTGCTTCATAAAGTAATTTTTTTAAAATAATTTAAGGGGGGTATTTTGGTCTTTTTAGGTCACAAGAGTTGCAGGTGCCATGTTAGATTTAATAGTGTGAACTTTGGGGATTTTTTGTAAAGGTTATAGGGGGTTTAGTGCAATTTTTTAACTTATTGGAGTTTACCGCAAAATACTAAAAGTTCTTGGGGTTTAGTGTGATTTTGAAAGTTATTGAGAGTTTATTGCAAAATATTAAAAGTTTTTGGGGGTTTAGTTTAATTTATCCTTAAAATATAGTGACAACACAGACATCACGTTTAAAGTTTAATTAATACAAAAGCCATCTTTAAAGGGGCCTTAATGGCAATCAACCACCTTGACATATTTGCAAGTGAAATTTGATTGAAGTTACCGAAACACCCTTAAAATGTGCCAGGCACTAGATTGGTTGAGTAGACATGTTCTGCTTCTGTCGTGTGTTTATTCATAAGGGTGTTTTTTGGGATCGACATCTAATTAGAAAATAGGTCAAAGTGGTTGATGCTATCAGAATCCCTTTTGACATGGTGGAGGGTAGGGTGAGGTGAGGTGTAGTGGCGGATTTAGGATTTTTGAAAACGAGTGTCACCATATAGTTAGTAATTACAAAATATACAATTGTCTAGGTGAGTTTTCATATTTTGGAAAAAGTACGTAATTGCTTCATTGAATTACTATCAAGTACATAATTGCACTTTAATAACTCCTACCAATAGGGTATATATTAGAAAGGGATAGTATTTAAGTCCCACCTATTTTAGACTTCTCTGTGGAAATAAGTATAGCATAATAAATGTTACATTGTGTAGCATTTCTGCTTGATTATGTTAATTAGGACTTGAACCAGCGTCGTTTGATGCCGCATGATTACACATACTATTACATGAGAAGGATAGTTTCCCCTTGTATATATGAATTGCAAAAGTGGTGCCATGTGACACCACTCCATCCGAGCTAGATCCTCCCTTGATAAGGTGAGGGGAGGAAGCTTTTAATGGAGAGTTCTTGGAGGGGGAGGTAGAGTAAGGTGAGGTGAGGAACAACTTTAAATTAACTAGAAATGAAAAGAGTGAAGAATACTTCCAAGTTGGAGGTATAAAAGAGAAGAAAATAAACTACAAAGTGGTTTTTGGATATGTCCTTCTCTATCCTCTTCATGCTGCCTACCAAACCATGCCTTAGAAGGTGGTTTTTGGATCAATTGAACTTGAAATATGCTTTTTGTATTATCACCCTTATTTAAAGGTGGTCGATGTAAAAAAGTTACGGTGATAAGTGTGTCGTAGCTTTCAACATTGTTTATGAGTGACTAGAGGGTGTATTTTACAATTTATATATATATATTTCCTCTTTTATTCAAGTGTTGCTTTTTGAATGAACTAGGATTTATGCATGTGCAATGCACGTGATTAAATATTATGATTAAATATTTTTGACTTATTTCTTTACTAAAATTTATTTCTCAGTTCCACTTTGATTGTTTTTCTTACTTATGTTTTCAAACTTTACTATTGTGATTATTTTTTTAATGTTTGTTTGAATGGGCTACACCAACTTTAAAATTTTTATGTAATAATTGAATTGACAAGAAATAACTATAATCTAAACCTAATTTGAATTTTCGTGTTATTTAGATCGGCATGAAACCAAGCTTGATTTAAGAAGGTATAACGTTGTAAAAGTAAAAAACACTTGAAAAGATAATGTTATAAAAGAAGAATGAATAATTAAAGCCAATAAGACAAGATGATTAATTAAAAGTGAGCTAGAATGAAACTAAAGAGAATATAAATTTTGTTGTTAATCACTGATAGACTTCAGAAAAAAATCATAAAATAAAGATTAATGCTAACTCTATTACACTTTTATATGATAAAATCATCCACATAACCATATTAAAAAAATTAAAAGAGTTCATGAAAATCACTTCTAAAGATTCCTGATTTTACTTAAAAAATTAAGCTATTTTTAAAAATATTAAATAATTTAAATTTGTGTTGTATTTATAAAGAGCCTTGATGGAGATGCTTTTGTTTTACCAGCTTGTTTTGAATGAGTCACGCATATTAGCTTTAAAGTGTAATATTTTTTCTTTATCGTGTTATATGGATGTTTGCTTGGTTTGCTTATCTATCTCTTATTTCTTTAATAAGTTGATATATTATTAACACAATTTACGATAACATGCATATCTTTCATACAAATTTGAGACAGATATAAGATTAATTTTATATTTATTGGCCTTTAATAAGAATTTTAGTTGTACAATATGTTACCTTCATATTTAAAGATCTTGAAATCTGACAGTACTATTACATGCTTATCTTTGACAGTGTTCTTAAAAATTAATCTTTCATTGGTAGTCATATCCCCAAATAAGGATACTTGTAGAGTCGTGCCACTATATAGAGAAAAGAAAATATCAATTTTAATTTTTTTACTTATACTATGGTAACTAAGTATCATGTGCATATTTTTTATCTATTATAATAATTTTCAAATCTTATCTATTTTATTACATCTCGCAATATAGTTGATCATTGGCTTCACTTTAGTTTCTATTGCAAGATTATTTATATGAAATTTTATATTAAGTTTATGATTCCTTCAGTATTTTTAGAATAAAATATGAAAATTTATAAGTACTTACTAATTTTTCTTGTACTTTTCATGAATAATGTTTTTTTTAATTAGGACATAATTGTTCAATATGTTCTTCAAGGAGAACTCGGTTAGTGCTTCTTTGCTCGATATGCTTTTTATCAATGTCAATTCAGGTGATTCATGAATGTTTCTGAATTTTAAGTTTATTTCCTTCACTTCTCCATTTAAAATGAAAACTACTTAGTTTTTTTAAAGGATATCTCTGAACTTTCTGATAGTTTCTCCATACATAACTCTTTGTATTTTTTTACTTTATAAATAAATATTATCAACATTAGAGATAAATAATTATACATTATAATCAGTTAATGCTAACCTATTATATCTTAATATAATAATATCAAACATTTCCTCTTTTTTGTCAAATTTTAGCCTTTTTGTGATTTAAACTTTTGAGGGTGTGTTTTGTAATTTTTAAACTTTGATAGTATTTTATGAAAATTTTAAATTTTAAGTTGGGCGCTTATAATTTTCATGTTTCATGTATTGGTGATAAGTTTTAAATGTTAGAATATTTCTCGTAACTCTGAAAATTTGAAGGTATTTTTATAATTACTAAAATTTTGGGTTGTTTTAAATTTTTAGCAATCTGCTGATAATTTCTAAATTTGATGTGTACCAGTTATAAGTTTTAAAATTTTAGAATTTTTTAATAATTTTTTTCTTTTGAGAGAGTTTTTGTAATTTTTGTACATTTGAGGTTATTTTTTTACTAAATTTAAATTTCTATGTGCCTAATGGTAATTCCGAGAATCCATCTATGTTGTTTCTAAGTTTTGAAATCTCTGAATTTTAGAAATTTTTTTTGTAATTTAAACATGGCTAAATAGCACTTATATACCCTATTGTTTTGCTCTTGTAGTAGTTATATACCCTAAGTTACAAAATATAGCAAAAAATACCCTGAGTTGGTAACTATTTAAATTTAGCTAACGGTGTTAAAAAATACATGAAAGGACAATAATACACCTCCTTAAGAATTAACCCCCCCAACATAGTAAAAACTCTTATTTTCTACTGTTACCCATATTAAAGAGGAAGAAGAAGTTGGAGGCCACGAAAAGAAGATGATGATGATGAAAATAATCTAATTTGCGGGTGGGGAGGGGGGTGGGGGATAGATGATACAGTAAATAATACAATAAATAAGGGTAAGAAGTATTCAAGTTGGTCATAGGTCCAGTACGTGAAAATATTCCAGAGAATATTCTCATAGCTGGTTAACAAAAGGTACCAACTTGTAAATTTTTGCCAACCCAAGGTATTTTTTTTGCTATATTTTGTAACTTAGGGTATATAACTACTTCAAGAGCAAAACACATAGGGTATATAAATATAATTTAGCC